GATAACCCTTGGCGAGCGAAATGTTTTGGGGGCACTATAAACTCCCAGGGAGTCGATAACCCTTTCTAGCGTTGAAGGGCCTCCTCGGTTGTCTGAACCGATCGAGGGGCGGGAAGAAGTGGATCCTGTGAGATCTAGTGGGATATCACGAGGAGGATCTCGTGGTGGATCCCGAGCATGGGAAAAGGAAATGGCAAGCCAGAGCCTCCACGAGGTGGGTGGTTGTTAGCAGTGTCACACTCCCCTGAGCAGAAGTCTCAAGGCCATCTTGCGCGCTACGTGATCTTGTTTGCCTTCCCACAGACGGCGCCAAAAATGATGATGCTAAAGTTAGATCACCCTTAGAGAGTTGAAGTAAAATGAGCTGAAATTGGCTCACGAGCTTGATGACCTAGAGATACCTGCGATCATAGAACACATGAACTAAGCCGGGAGTTGATCCGGCGGAAACCCCTCCGACGCTCAAGTCAGACGTGCTGATCATAGAAAATAGTCCAGAAAATACAGTTGTAGTGGACGTACCTTAAGGAATGAGTTTTTGAGATACATGCGATCATAGAACACATGAACTAAGCCGGGAGTTGATCCGGCGGAAACCCCTCGCTCAAGTCTGATCATAGAACAGATGAACTAAGCCGGGAGTTGATCCGGCGGAAACCCCTCCGACGCTCAAGTCAGACGTGCTGATCATAGAAAATAGTCCAGAGAAAATACAGTTGTAGTAGACGTACCTTAAGGAATGAGTTTAAACCTTTATTTATAGCTTAGTTGAGATTGTCGGGCCCAAACCTTGCTTGAGGGTGATTGGGCCTCGGTGATAGTGGTCTTCGATATTGGGCTCGTGGCCTAGTAGGTAAATAATTTGTAGGCCACATGGCCACGGGCCGGGTCTGACCCGGACACGGCCCGTTGACTGCCCCGACACGCCCCGGCCCCCGCCCCGTTGACCATGGGCCCGGATCCGGCCAAGTCCGGGTCGGTTTCGGGTCCCGATTATGTGGACCCGGACCCGACGGGTCTACCCGGCGGGGGGATCCCGAGGGCCCGGCGGGTCAACCCGGAAATATCCAGTTTTTTTGTCCAAAAATGCACATTTTGGTGTTCGAACCCGGGGCATTGGGCAAGAATGTGCAACTCTTTTCCACTGGGCCAACCAACATATTTGATAATTAATAGACAATAAATATATATAATATACAACTATGGTGTAAATGATAAATATGTTAAATAAATTAATAATTTTCATATTAATTATTATTAAATAATTTTAATTAAATAATTAACAAATGCAATATAAGAAAAAATATATATAATCACGGTTCAATACTTCAAAACATCTATTATTAATTAATATATCAATATAATCTCCACTATTGAAAAATATAAAGTATTGAATCAATTCACTTATGTTATTAAAATAGATAGTGTGAAAAAAATCGATTGAAAAATAAAATAATATGTTTATTTAAAAAAAAATAGAACATAACTCATTTCAATTAATTTAAATCGATTTACCTCAATTATTGACAAGAACTTATTAATATTATTGAGGATTTTATCATAAGATAATTGTTTAAAAATATAATTGATGTTTGTTTTAACAAAAATAGATTATATCTCATTTCAATTAATATTCTTACTTTAAAAATAACATTATATATGACTAGTATAATCAAAATATTATAATGTGGTTTCTCTTTAAATAATTGGTTTAGTTTGTAAAAATCGTAAGAATTAAATTGTAGATCATATGATTTAATATTTTTTTTACATTTACATTTTATTCAAATATTAGAATCGAATCGTAAGATTTAAATGGATTAATATAAAGTCCTTTTAATTTTGATATTATATTTGTTAATAATGTAATTAAAATTATTTAATAATTATGAATATGATAATTAACAATCCATTTAACATTATTTATTATAATCATTTTATACTGGGTTTATATGTTATATTTATATTACCTGCAACTTAAATATCAAATATTTATCTTGTCACAATGGTTCGTATTCCTTTTCCAGTGTGTTGTGACCTGGGTTCCAATCCATTGATAACAATTTTGGACCAAAATTTAAAAAACGGGTCTGGACCCCAAGCCGGGCCCCGAACCCAACCAAGCGGAACCCGGCAAACCTCAAACCCAACCCAACAATCATGCAAACACTTGGTCCCCGTTGGACTACATAGGCTTATAAAAAGACTGAGACACACCTCCACCCTTTACATTTGGTTTAATACGTTTTAAATCTGAAATGTTAAAAGTCGTCTCAGATTTACTACTACCGTTTTGATATCAAACGTGAATTTGCCTCGTTTCTAGTTAGAATTTGGCAGAATTCAAAACACAAAAACTGAAGACTTTTAAGTTAGCTTTTTAATATAGTTTGAATCAGCTAGATTAGATGTCGTACGATAAAGTTATGCATGAACGAATTACGGTTTGAATTTTAGACGACTCGTCAAAACATCAAAATTGTGAGCTATGTTCGTTGATTCATTCATATCTTTATCATCTAACATCCAATCCTGTCGACTGAGGTTAAATTAACAATCTAACACAAAAAACTACTGATTCCTTTTTTTGAGTTTTACCGAATTCAGCCTAAAATTAAACAAATTCACGTTTGAAGTTGAAACGATATTACTTAAAAGTGAAACTGACATTTATCACACCTCATTTTAAATTGTCTATGATCAGATTTTTAAACTTATCTAACATCTATCATCCAAATATACACAACACAACACATCATTAATCATTTAATCATTTAATCATTAATCATAATTCCATACATCAGCCGCATGAATCGATGATCCAACGGCTGATGTCAAGAGTTGATTAATTTCTTTATTTATTGATTCGGAAAATCGTTATGCATTGCACATCCATTCCAACTGTGTACACACTATACACACACAAGAACACATTTAATATTTGAAGGAATAAATAACGGCATTTTAGGAATTTTTACAACCGTTCCTCCGCCCAGCAGCGCTTCATTTCAAATTCCCATTTTCCCCTCTCTCTCTCTCTCTCTCTCTCTCTCTCTTTCTCTCTCCTCAACCAAACATTCTCTTCATGAATTGAGTGAAAAATTAGGTAAAAACAAATTTGCAACTTTTAGGGCCCCAATTTCTAATTATCTTCACTGTATCATCATTCATTTTTTCACCACTCGTCATTAGTTAATCTTTTTCCTTGTAATTTGGGTTCTGAATCTCTGCATTTAATTAAAAAATTATTTACCATTTTGCAATTCACTGTTAACGGTAGTTTTACCACTGACCCTTTTTTTTTTTCTTTTTTTTTTTTTTTAATTAATTTCAGTGTAAATCTGAGATTGAAGTAAGTGGTTTGGTTTCAACATACGCAAATGGGTTGGAAGAATGTCATCTCCTTTTGTCCTGCTCCCAATTTCCGGAACATGTTCCAGGTTTGTTTCCTGTTTTTTTTTTTTTTTTTTTTTTTTAATTAATTAATTAATTTATTTTCCCCCCTTCAAGAAATTATTTAAATTAAGCCGAGTTTCTTTTGTATTTTATTAAGAGATTGACTTCCATAAGTTGCTGTTGGTTTGGATATAATATGCATTAGGTATACAGTAGAATGTTGTAATTGTTTGTCGTCTCGAAAATCGAAATGTTAAATAGCTCCTTTATTTATTTCCAATTTTTTGATATGATTCTTGATGCATTTTTTTTTTATTTTTTTATGTTGTAATAATCGAGCAGTTAAGACCAAACGAACACATGCTCGAATGCCGTCATACGATTAAGTCTCACGGGGGACAACTAATGAAGAACCACAAGCATGATTGGCTGATACTTATACTTCTTGTAATCATCGAGGTTATATTGAACATCATTCACCCGTTTTATCGATTCGTGGGAAAAGATATGATGATCGATCTCAAATATCCTATGAAAGAAAACACAGTCCCCATTTGGTCGGTTCCCGTGAGTTTCTTTTACAATCCTATAATTTTTTTTCAAGAATTATTATCGTTAACATATATTTCAAATGATACTTATTTATTTAGTTATTTGTTCGTTTTTTGGTGATTATAGTTGTATGCAGTTCTGCTGCCAATTGCCATCTTTGTGTTATACTATCTTCGGAGGAAAGATATATATGATCTGCATAATAGTATACTAGGTAAATATTATTTCGATTTTCTCCTTTTTCTGTACCGAATTTCAAATACGATATGCCCTTCCCTTTTGCTGAAGTCGTGATATTGGATTATAATAAAATGCAGGACTGTTATTTGCTGTGCTGATAACCGCAGTTCTTACAGACTCCATAAAAGATGGAGTTGGTCGACCCAGGCCCGATTTCTTCTGGCGTTGCTTTCCCGATGGCCGTGAAGTATGCCACCTTTTTTTCTAAATATGAAATCAATATATTAATTATATCTTTTTTTGATAAGTATATGAAATCATATATTAAACCAATTGTTCAGAAAATGATTTGCTATGTAATTCTAATGCTCGGTTTTTTCTTAACTCTTTCGTGTTTTATTTTATCGACTGATAATTTATTTTTTCCCGTAAACAGGAGTACGATACTTGGGGCAATGTTGTTTGTCATGGTAAAGATAGTGATATAAGAGAAGGGCACAAGAGTTTCCCAAGTGGCCATACTTCATGTAATACTTTCTTCACATTTAAGTAACTTCTCGAAAAAAAACAAAAACAAACATAATTATAATCTGTTACGATGTTTTTTTTTTTATCAGGGTCGTTTGCGGGTCTTGGTTTTCTAGCACTATACTTGTCGGGAAAAATCAAATGCTTCGATCGGAGGGGACACGTGGCGAAATTATGCGTTCTTTTTCTTCCGATTCTTGCTGCATGTCTTGTTGGTGTTTCTCGTGTGGATGATTACTGGCATCACTGGCAAGATGTCTTTGCTGGGGGTCTGTTAGGTTCGTTTCTCGTTTTTCGACCTTAAAAAAATAATTAAAATTGGTTAATATCGCTTCTTAATTTATTTTCTTTTTTGTTATAATTTGCAGGGCTTGTGGTGGCTATTTTTTGCTACCTGCAGTTTTTCCCAGCTCCATACGACACAGAAGGTAATTTTGTCAAATATTTTCTCTATCTAATTATTTGTTTAAATAATTAAATGTAATTCTTTCATCCCAATAGTTAATTTAAAAACAAAAAAAAAGGAAATATTGTATAAAAATGAAGATAAGTGAGTCACAATTCTGTTACTCTTGTTTTACTGCAGGGTGGGGCCCGTACGCGTATTTTCGAGCGGTAGAGGAATCTCGTACGAGTGCTCAGCCTTCGATTGTCGAAGATATTAACAACCAACAACAACAGTATAGAGGAAACAATGTCGACTCAACTTTTGATGCAATGGAGTCGGGAATAAGGTAGAACTGGAAATTATTAACATCGTATTTCCTCCGTAACCAAAATCTCTTGTTAATATGTTTGGCTGCTCAATTTGTTTAGTTTCTCTTATTTCTCATTGTGAAGAGTTGTTTGATGATTTGGAACCCCTTTTGATTTGTAATCGGAGTGAATTCGCACTTTCTAGCTTGTATAAAATCTATTTTGCGGTTTGTTTACCAAGGACTCGTTTGGTTAGCAAATTATGTTATGCCTATTAAATAGTAGGGGCTAGTAAGACATTCGGTTGACAAGATTCGTATTATTCAAACCCGCTATTAAAGTTGAAACCAGCTATTCGTTACTATATCATTAAATTAGTAACACACATCACACTGCGATTAATTTTATAGGGGTGACCAAAACAATTTTATCCTTAAAATAATATGCGTGTAGAGTTGGATATCATATGGTTGTTGATATATGAAGATGCTCAACCACTTTAATTTGTCATTATCATTAAAAGTCACAAATATAGAAATTAGAACAAAGAAAAAAAAAAGTAAATTATACATGTTATTGCCACATAGATGATGGGAAGGGCAATTTTGAGGAGAAAAAGTTGCTGCAAAATCAAATCGTACTTGTGACATACTTAAAAGAAGTAGAAACATATGAGAATGAAGTAAATTTCACTTTTACCCATTCTTTTTTTCTCACATGCTAAAGATTTCTTAACGCGTGACGTGATATAAAATGAGCAAATTACCAACCCCCATGGACAATGAAATGTATTACTTAATCTGGATGATTTATCTTACTGAAATGATTTACGGCGGCAACAAAATTATGAATGTCGTTTACAATAGTTTTCCCTTTCACTCTCTAAAAACCCCAAAATCCACCCAAACTCCAAAACCCCCAAAAAACCCCAAAATTCACAAAAACCCTCAACCTCTCGTTAATTTGAAAGGTAATTAATCATCTAAAGTAGTTATATAAATTGAATTTGTGGTTTATCATGTGAAAATCCCAGAAAATCGCGCAGGCGTGCAAACTGCTTTCACACGCCCATTTTGGGCGTGGAAAATTAGTTCGGGCGTTCGGTCCAGACGTCGGTTCTGGACCGGTCGTCCGGTTCAAATTTTTTTTTTTGCCCAGTATAAATGAAATGATGTATTATATTTAAATAAGTATTAGTTAAAAAACTCGCTCTGGCTCAGTTACCTTGACACCTATTGGAGCTACCGTCGATGTAGATTACTAGGCGTGGACTTGGACGAAGGGAACTGAACCAACGGTTCTATGTATTGGAATCAATCTGATAATATCAATCTTCGTTTCATGTTTTTGTTCATATCAATTTTCGAATGTAAATCAAACGGATACCCAATATTATATACTGTCTAACTGAGGCATAAAAACTAAGGAGTGCAACAAATAATCAAGAATTCCACTCTAAGAGAAAAAAATAAGGAATAATGAAGAAAATACAAAACAAAATTAATAAAAAAATGAGTTATAATCCAAACCGTATCTAAATTATTATTTCAAAACATGCAAAAAAAAAAACAAAAAAAAAAAAACCACAACCTTAAGACCAAAATTTGATATCGAATAGACTGGTATTGGTTAAACACCTTTTTCAAGCATTATTTTATAAATAAAAACTAATTAAAATCTTATTTCATCACCAACATTCCAACATGCCAATGCTTTTTTATTTCTCCGGAAAAATATTTTATTCAAAATTTTGAAAATAACTTCTTTTTGTTTTTTTTAACTGCAAATGCTTTACAAATTAAAGTATACTACTGAAAAATAAATCAATTGAGAAATTGAGATGTTATTTTTGCGATACTCTACATAAATCAAAGATTATTTATGATAATACTAAATAACAATTATTTGTACATATCTCAAGAGAATGAATTTAATAAAAAAAAAAGTTAATCGGTTCTTTATCCAAAGGTCAGTACATCTTTGACTGTAGTTGCTTCACTTTCTCTTTTTTTCACAAAAAAGAAGAATCCGCCACCTTCTCTCTCTTCTTTCTCTCTCTTGTTTCTCTCTCTAACGCCTTTGGAGTTTTAAATTCGAAAAATCGGCCCCTGAAATTAATTTGGATAAACAATTAAAGTACTGCAAATGGCTTAGTGAATTTGGTGAAGAAACCACTCCTCTCTGTTTTTTCCTTACGCCTTTTTTTTTTCTTTCGATTATTTGATTTTTTGGAGAATTTCTCTCTCTCTCTCTCTCTCTCTCTCTCTCTCTCTCTCTCTAACGCGCAGTTGCAGACATTCCGTTATCTCCAGGTGATTTTCACACCGCGGCTCCAATTTTTGTTGATCTTTTAGTTTTGCCCCGTAATGTATTCTTCTGTTTGAAATAATTATAGTTTAATTTCCTGTTTGCGGAATTGATTTGTTGGTTGCATTCGTTTTTACATTTCTGATTACTCAGCTTTTCCCGCGTTTTAGAAACGATTTCTTCATTGGCCATGATAATTGTGCTGCTGTCGTTTTTCGTGTTTGCTCTAAAAGCTTGTTTTCAGTGTAGTTCATTGTGGTTGCAGGGAATTTGAATATGTAAACTTGTTTCGTTTCAGTTTGTTCTATTAGGTTTCGACTCTGAAATCCGATCGGACTCAATTAATCGAAATATATATATATATATATATATATATATATATATATATCTATATATATATATAAAACATAGGTGTTCTGTTATTTAACATATGAATTGTATCTGCTGTAATCTATATGGTAAATCACAAGTTAGTAATCTGAGGAGTTCGTTGCTGTTTGATATAGCGTGCGTACATTCATACGCTTTGTGCTGCACGGATTTTCAGTTAACATAGTTGCCAAAATGCACACTATTTGCCAACTTTATTTTCGTATGCATGAACAATTAATTTTTTATTTGGGCATTGTGATAGTTTTTTTTTTTCTTCCTCAGATGGATAAAATTGGAGATGTACTCGTCTGTTGTAATACATTACTATAGCTTCCAACTGATTACCAATTACGATTCAATAAACACGTAATTTTTTTTTCTAGGTGTACAAAAATGCCGTCCGAGATTCAGTTAGGTTCCCACACCATAAGGTCTCATGGATACCAAGTAGCCAGGTTTCACATGCATGATTGGCTTATCCTTTTGCTGCTTGTGGTGATAGAGGTCGTTCTTAATGTGATTGAACCGTTTCACCGATTTGTCGGCGAAGATATGATGACAGACCTGAAATACCCTTTGCAAGACAACACTATTCCGTTTTGGGCTGTTCCGGTATGTTATGTGTGATAATTAATACTGTTGAACTGTTGACATGATAACTACTAATTGCCTGTGTATAATGTATGACATGACAGATAATTGCAATCATATTGCCGTTCATTGTCATCGTCGTCTTCTACTTCATACGACGAGATGTCTATGATTTACACCAAGCTGCGTTAGGTATGACTCACTCTTTCTCGTTGTTCCTTTCCTTTACCTTTTTAACTATGTATATAATTGTGTAATATTGATTGTATTGTGTATAATTGTCAGGCCTGCTCTTTTCCGTGCTTATATCTGGTGTTCTCACTGATGCAATTAAAGATGCTGTCGGTCGACCTCGACCGGACTTCTTTTGGCGTTGCTTCCCAGATGGTAAAGGGGTGAGTGTCTGTTGATATGCATGCCTCGTAAGATTTGTTTTGCTAATCAAATTTTCCGTTTATCACAACCAATGTTTCGTGACGGTACTTGTGCATTTTGGTGGATAGGTGTTTCATAATGTGACAGGGGATGTCATGTGTACTGGAGTGAGTAGTATCATAAAAGAAGGTCATAAAAGTTTTCCGAGCGGACATACCTCATGTGAGTATAACCTGTGCATATGTTGGATACATTTTTAAAATTTTCTTTTTTCTTTTTATTTTTTTAAAGAAAATTTCCTCTCGTAATCTTGTTGCATATGTTGCACCATATTTTGTTGTCCATCTCCGTAGATAACCAGTGAATTTTTAAAGCCTCCCTTCTTTGGTGCTCCAACATCAATTTTGGTGTATTAACTAATAGTATTGGTTTGATTCATCGTTTGTGCATAACGATTAATGCTGTCCCCACAGAATTTTATGATGTTGTAGATACCGTTGCTCGATATATAATACTTCTATTGGTAAAATTGTCTTTGTTTTGACAATTATTTATACTTTTTCCTCTCTCACCGATATTACATTTTGTTTTTAACACTATGCTTACAAATTGTTAGGCATTCATCGGTCTAACCTTTCTTATGAAAATATTTACTTCGCTACCGTTCTATATTATGTGCTTCCAATTCAAATTAGATCAAGAAAATGCTATGCCAAGTTGCCCACCTACCACAAATAGAGAAAAAATAGCAAGAATGATCTTGGTTACTAAGTCTCGAGATTTCATGAATGAATAGCATTTTATTCAAAGTCCAAAAAAATTGGAAATGTCGAATTTTTTTTGGATTATTTGTGTAGTTTCAAAATAGTGAAAAAGTCGAGCAAATATAACTATTTAGTGCATTTTTTATGTAAAGAAACTTAACGGCGTTTGGTTATTGTACTCGATAGGGTCTTTTGCCGGTCTCGGCTTTCTGGCGTGGTATTTGTCCGGCAAAATCAAAGTATTTGATCGTAGAGGCCATGTGGCAAAGCTCTGTATTGTCTTTGCACCCTTACTCATTGCAGCATTAGTTGGAGTTTCAAGAGTCGATGATTATTGGCACCATTGGCAAGATGTCTTTGCTGGAGGTTTATTAGGTACTTTAAAATACGAAATTAAGACTATCACCAAGTTTATTTAGTTTATTATATGATATACTTAAGAATAAAAAATAAAAAGATTCTTAATCTTTCTGTTACTGCTCTATGTGCAGGGTTGACAGTGGCCTCTTTTTGTTACTTGCAGTTCTTTCCACCACCGTACGACTTAGACGGTATTTTTCTTCTCCGAGCCTTTTCTGTTAATAATCACAAAGGCATTGTTAGCTGCACCGAGCTTCGTTTTTAGTATACCAGTTCAACAAATATTTGGTAGTATGCAACAATTTGTTTTTCAGTTTGATTTTGAATTTATTCTTTAGATAAGAATGTGGTCAATGTTTCAATTTTCTATCAGTAGAAGTAAAAAATGCTCGTTCCTGTATGAACGTATCTGTCTTGTTTGTCCTGTATATATATATATATATATATATATATATATATATATATTTGGAAAGGTTAGTAATCGGTATACGGGATGATGCAGGTTGGGCACCACATGCGTATTTCAATATGATGGCAGAGTCGCAGAATGACAACGTATCATCGACGAACAACAGAAACGTAAGGGAATCGGAGCTTGGGAGTGTTTGAGTCTCTTTCGAGGTATTTTCACATCGCTCACAACTCAGTACTCAATCCTAAAAAACACGTGAAATGTGGGAGATGGCCAATTGGCGCACATAGGTAGTAGAAAAACGATGTACAGAATACGGTTATTCTGTTCCTTTTGTCCCTTTATCTACTATTCGCACCTTGTTGAATTTGCGAAAAAAATTTATAGATTGTGATGATTTCTATATTTTCGTTTTTTTGACAAAAAGAGCGATCGTTTCTATTCCTATTAAACAGATTTTCGACATTTTTTTATCTGTCTTTAGATGGTAGTAAACTCGAGCATGCCATTGGACCATTTTTTTGGGTTCGTTTTTTTTTGGCAGCAATTAAAAAAAAAAACGATCTAAGGAACTCGAATTTTAGTCTATTGAAACCGAAAATATCATCTATTTCTACCCTCTTTTACTTCTTTTTTCTGATGCAAGTACATATAACTCACCGTTCGAGAAGATTTTCTGCTTTCAAGAATACTGCAAGTGCCCCTTTCGATCATCCACACATTGAGCTCCTCACTTAATTAATAGAATTCGACGAAGAAGCCAATTCCGTCACCAACTCCTTCTTCTTGGTTGAAAACTTACTTTGAACAGGCGAGGAACTTTCGCAGCTGCTTTGTTTAATTCTTTTCCTCATAATAAATTTTCCCAATCCATCACTTTCCGTCGGCACACACCTTTTCGTGCAGATTTCCGTCACTTCCGTTAGCCTCTTTCGATCCACAAGATTTTCAAGATCATTCTCAACTTGATCGCTGTCACCAACCTCTTCAATTACGTGCTCTTGCAACGTACTTTCTTTGACAATTTCAAGGATTTTGTCCCCCTCTTCTCCTCCTCCCACATTAGCTCCTCGAGATTCAACTTCTTGATCGGCATTAATTATACTCTTAACAACGCCTCTCGGTTCTTTTTCGTTCGTTCTTTTTCTGTAAACATGCTGCCACACGTTCTTGAGAGTTTTCGATGAGATGGGCTTTTCCAGAAAGAAGCAAGCTCCCTTTTCCATGGCTTCCTTAACCGTATCCTTGTTCGATTCTTTGGCCATCACTAAAGAATGTAAAGCGTTGTATCAGAAAAAAAAAATCAGAAAGAAAAAAAAATTAAGGATGAATAATACAAGTCACATACATATGATGGGAAGATTCTTGATTAGATGAACATTCTCGATAAACTTGAAGAAGTCGATTTCACGCATGTTGGTATCGGCCATGACAAGGTCAAAGTGATTCGTTCGTTCTCGCAGAATGGACAGTGCAACCGTAGCTAGTTCAGTAGTGGTAACTGTAACAAAAATCAAGAATCATAATGT